AAACGCAGGTGACTTGTGGTCAAGTGACATCGAAAAGAGTCAATTTGACTCGGGGTGTGCTATCCTTAATTCTTTTCTATTTTTGATCTTTTTTAATGACTTTCCGTACTATTTTAGGGCCATTGACTGTTTATTATATGCCGACGATACCACTTTGATTATCCGAAGCAATGAAGCTGAAGAAGTCATTCAAAGATCAGAATTGGTTCTAGATAGAGCACGTAAATGGTGCATCACGAATGAGTTGTGTTTGAATAATAAGAAAATAGTCAGAATAACTGACAGAGTAACTTACAGCGTAGGGCTCTAAGAGTTGTGGAAGACCTGGGATATAGTGAGGACTGTCGACACATGTTCGTGCGTTTAAGCGTTCTAACCCTGCCACTTATTTATATACTAAATTGTATATCGTATGCTCTGAACAATTACTATAAGCTTTTAAATCATGCTGATGTTAACAAATACGCAACTCGTAATCGTTGTAATGTGTATGTTGATATGTGTAGATTGAGTGTAACGCAACAGGGTCCAACATACATGTGTCAAAAGCTATTTAATAAGTTGCCGTTTATGTCAGAGGTCTCCCGTTTCTTACCATAAACGTAAACAGACACATTTCTTAGCTTCGAATGCGTTTTATTCCCTCGATAAATTTTTAAAGTGTAATATTGATATTTCTTAGTAAGTAAATGTGATTATTGTTATTGTTAATATTATCTCATATAAATACAAGGGCTTGAAAATATCGAAGAAGAAAATACTTGACTTGGTGATAGTTGAAAGAAATCTACAGGAAAGGAAAGCATAGAGAGCCTGTTATGGGAAAAAATCTGCTGGAAAATCTAGATTGGTAACATTAGCAACACACACCACGAACTGATGTAACCGAATGTCACTCTTTCCCTATCCGATTCTGTTCACCTTTTCTGCCACAACGTCCTTGTTAGATCCTTCACCCATTAGATCTTTCAACCCAATCCAACCATCTCGTTAGATCCTTCAATCCATTTCAACCCAACCCAACCTCCTCGTTAAATCGCCCGCTTCCCTACCTCGTCACTCATCGGTCATACCTATACTCTCTTGTACACTGCGCAGCTTCCTTCTGTAACCACGAACCAGACCAACAACCCAGGTACGCCCTCACAACTATCAAGTTCATCAAAAGCCTTCCATTCAAAACGTATAATGCTTCATTCGACACTGTTCTACAAATAGATACTATCGCCAGCAAAATCATCCTTTGTATGCCATAGACACCTTTCCATACCTTACTACCGGCTGATTAACTCTGGAATCCCTCACCAAAGCCTTTAGCAGTTTAAACCTTCCGCATAACCCACCAGCTTTAGACTTTCCATTTTAGTCAAAAACGAGGTTCTAGAATCTTGGTCCCAAAATTGAAGATTGGGGGCATTCCTTCATCATCCCACACATCACTCTTCCTGTTCTGAACTCTATTGACTCCACCCTATCCTTTACTTTAAGGAATCCTCTATCAGAAACTTTCAATTTCTGCAGTCTTTTCAGGATAACGTTTAAGTTGTCAAACACCACGGATATATCCATAAATATAGTCAGGATGTATTATCTTCCGCCTCATTGGCAAGTCTGCGTGGTCGCTCATCCATCATCCATTTTTTTTTTTTTTAATTTCGACCTCAGAAAAGGAGGATATGTTACTTTTGAACATTTGTGTGTATGGAAAAATTTGGGATGGTAAAGAATTTACTTAGTTAGGGACTACATTTCGATGAATACATTTCGATACAGCCGCTGGGTTTGAGAATGTATGCGTGGGTTGTGTCTATACGTGTGTTTTACGAATATTATAAAACTTTTTTAGATGAGCTTGAAAACTCTTTATCCGACATATTAATGTTGACGGACAAAGTGTTATGCTGTGGCGATTTTAATATTAATTTGTTGAAATCCGAAAGTAAAGATACAGATTATATTTAGTCTTTTTTTGAGTCTTTAGGAGGCATTCAGTTAATGGATGATCCCACCAGAGTTACAATGACAACATCAACACTTTTAGATCTTATTTTTGCGTTTGACTTGTCCATGGTAGATTGTAGTGGTGAACTCAATCACCTTCGCAAGTAACATCTTTTCCAGATAACTTAATAATCCATGAAGACGTCTTTTTTATGCGATTATGAGAAGCGCATGCGTTCATGTAGGAAATACACCGTTCTCTTGCTTGTTCAGCATCAGTTTTCAATGTAATTACCAAAGAATCTATTAAATGATTTACTTGATGTAATGCCTCTTCTTGAGCTTGATCTCTTTGTGTGTATATTTTTATATCTACTGTTAAACAACGATCAATGATTCTATTTATATAACTGTGGCTATGAGGTATTAGCCAACATAATAATATAATTATAAAATTAACTTTTGGCAGACTTTTTATTTTGCGTCTGTTATGTTTTGCTTCAAAAACAATTGTGTGCAAATATAAAAATAATAACAAATCAAATACAATTTTTATGTTTTTAAATGGAGCTGCTGCCACAGCACGCTACAATAACGTTGCGTTTGTCTTGCTCGAATATGCTTGAAGAATATCGATCAATTGTCTTTCATTTCTGATTTGGGTAATTTAACTTTCAATAAAATATTTTATGTGCACGATGTAAATTATAAAATTCAGTATTTTACTCAACGGATAGTTAATCTGTTTGACGTTCATCTCCTTTCAGGTTACGTAAGTTCACAAAGCCTTATGCTCCTTGGCTAATGGATAACATTAAATTCATTATGCGCTTAAGAGACCAGGCGAAATCAAAATTCAGAAAAAGAGGCAATATTTCCCGCTGGAACTATTATAGAGACTTGCGTAACTTCACTACTAATGTTATTAAAAACGAAAAAAGAGCCTATTTTAAGTACATCCGGAGTAAACGAAATTCTAAAAAGAGATAAAGCATTTACAAATTCAATCATAGAATAATAATAATAATAATTGTAGCCAATTACCTGAACAATTGCAGGATCCTTCGTTTTTTACTCAAAGTGTTCAGGATATTCATGAAACTAAGTCAGACGATTCTGATGATTTTTATGGAGAGTTTCCTGCTCTACTTCTAATCTATCTACTCAAATGGTTACCACGTCTGAACTATTGCAGGTTCACATTCAAAACGTGTAAAGCATCTTTTGACACAATTCAACCAATAGACACTATCGCCAGCAAAATCATCCTTTGTATGCCATATACACTGTTCCATACCTTACTACCGGATCATTAACCCTCGAATCTATTATCCAAACCTTTAGCACTTTATAACCTTCCGTATAACTCACCAGCTTTAGACCTTTCGTTTCAGTCAAAATCCCGTCAAAACCGAGGATCTAGAATCTTGGTCCCAAAATTGAGGACTGGGGGCATTCCTTCATCATCCCCCCACACCATTTCATCATTTCATACAATCCCCCAGAAACTCACAATTCCTGCAGTCTTTTCAGGATAACGTTTAAGTTGTCAAACATCACTGCTATATCCATAAATATAGCCAGGATGTATTATCTTCCGCCTCATTGGCAAGTTTCTGCATGGCCGCCAGCGCATACATCGTCTCTTTCCCTTTCTTTCATCATACTTCTCCTGTATCCTGTTCCAACACATCTTTTCCAGTATCTTCCCCATGACATCCAACAGCAAAATTAAGCGATACGCCTTTGGAGAAAGACCAAGGAATGGGGTTGATTTACACCAAATCATTATAAAGATATGGACCGATATGAAGACGCTACATGATTTCGCTAATCTGAAAAGAGCTGGATACAGATTTTGTTTCTACTCGATCAGTTTCTACGTGGAGCAGCTGGAGAATATGTTACTTTTTAAACATGAAGACAACTTCTTCATGAAGCGGCAGAATTGCAAATTTGGGAATTAATGGGAAAATGGATTATAAGACAACTTTTGATGTAACAAAAAACACATGGTGGTTATAAATAGTTGAACTCTAGACAAGAATTTTTTGATGTTCCACATCGATATTTTATCCACGATCTGATATAGAAATGTGGCGCAAAAAAAAGGTTAGGAGCTTATCCTGCGAAATCGTATGCGATATCGAGGAAAACGCTTAGTGCCCTGACCTCAGGACGACGGCGGTTATTGAGAGATTTGAAACGTGTGCCTTTTTTTATTTTAGCACAAAAGTTAATATCGGACGTGACGGGAATCGGGTAAAGCTTCTGCTGACCAACGGCCCTTAGGAAAAGGCCGGGAAGTAGAATCGATGAAACCTGCTCGGTTTTATGCTCGATTTTCATAGCGGGGAATATCGGATGAAATTTATCGGTGGTATTAGAATTTTTGGGCCGCCGGGCGACGCCTTATAGTTTAAAATTTCCGGGGTCGTTTTGCACCTCGTAAAAGTTTAGGGGCTGTCGTTTTGCGGTCCAACGTAAAAACCTCTAAATACTTACGACTAAAACGAAAAAGTAAAAGAACGAATTCGCCTCCTCCTTCTAAGCTGGCGAAAAATCAATACTAAGAAGGATGCCATAACGTTTCATCCTGATTATTTCCTTTTCGAGAGATTGTACTGTTCCGGATAACAACTCTCTTTCCTTCCTTAATACTGATAGGGGTATTCTTTTCCCATCCCATCCCATTTTATACTTACACACTAAATCAAGCAACGGCAAGAATTTATACGTGTCAATGAGATAAAAGAAGTTCAAGCCGACGTCGCGGCATTAATCCAAATGAGCTGAACACAGTCGATTTGTAAACGTCCCGAGTTCGAGCAGATGACAAGCGGCCACTCGAGAATGCAAAGAAGAGTAACGACTCAATATGTCAGTGTCAGCACCGATAAAGGAACATCTTATCTCAATTAGACATCGTTTCGTACACTACGATATACTGTACTCGTGTTTATTTCTTTCTGATTAAGACTAATGTGGTTATAAAAGAATGAGTTTCAAAAAAGATGTGTGTTAGGGTAATAAAAAACGATTATAATTAAAATTAAATAAATTTTATTTATGACGTCACTTAAGCAATTACTTTTCAAAAATTAATTAATTAATTAAATATATACATAGAGTTGCTTTGGAATCGGTTTCAAAATATAATCTTAAAATCGCCTCTGTACATTATTTACAAACAATTCTATAATAATAGTTTTTTTTAATTAAGTAGGAATGTCCGAGTATACGTTTTGAAATAAGTACGATTCTATTAACACCTTCATTAAATCTCGAACAGCAAGAAATCGTTGTATGAAAAAATAACCACCGTTTTTTTAGTCGGAAACCATCAAAATCTTCACTCTGTAAATCTCTTAATTAATAAATCATCGTGAATCACAACCTTTTTTAAACCTAACTTAAAGTTTCTTCGTGAGAAAACGGTGGAATTACAATTATTAAAATATGGACGATTTTTTGTTTTTCGAATAAAAATCATTTCATCTCATCAATGATTTCAAAAGAAAATTAACACCTACAAAAAAACCCATCATCATTTCAACGCGATATGACAAGTTTCGATTACTATTTACACAGTTTATATCTTTTTAATTTATATTTATGAGAATTTTATTATTTACATTATTTCACTTCCGGATTTTTAAAACACTGGTTACACTTTCTTGGCAAGCAACCGTTTTTTAAGTCCGTAATGTGGCGATTTAGAATCATTTTGAAAAAATATCACATATCACTGCAAATGAAGTTGACGGCATCTTCAGTCGTAGGAATGAAGTAGGTTTAACCGGTTTGGTGCACTGAAACAAATACAAAATTTTCAAAAATCAAAAATAAAACAAGCGATAATAAATTTTTTATATTCAGTAACGAAATATCGACTAGGGATACATTTAACGGTACTATATAAGCTCTACGAATCATTTGATGTTAAACAAAAGCACCCAGAGGGGGTAACCTACCCCCTAACGCGCCAACCGAAAAGATCGTTAACAGATAAAGCCTATTTATAAGGGCCATGTGGGCTTTAACGACAAACCCGTAAATAAATTTTAAAAGCGACAGATTCGATCCGCAACCACCATCAAAAATAGTACCCCGTTAACAAAAGGGGGACATTTTCACCTTTTCGTATTCGAGGATTTTTTCCACCGCCCTAAACGGGAGAGGCAGCCGAGAAAGAAAAGCGAGCGATGTAATTTCGTTAATTTTCCACCGGTTTTTTTTCTTCGTCGTCGTTTCTCTCGAACCTCGCCCGTAAAGCTCCCCTTAAAAGCTCCGCCGCGAGATTGGGAAACTCTACGGCCTACTTTTCCGCCTTCAAATCGGTATATCGACTTTAGCGTGCTTTTTCCACCCCTTCGCTAGTTCCTTTCAATAGGGAGATTTACTCGTTTTTGTTACCTACACTTTGAAATCGTTCGCTTGGATTTGTATCGATGGTGTTCAAAGTTTTAGGAATTTAAATTTATATATTTCAATTTTTTTATTATATTAAAACCTCAATATAACTCGACAAAATTTTAATTTGTACTTTAAAGACTCTGAAGTGATTACCTAGTGTTAGTTCTAGTTCAAAGAGAAATATACAAGAATCTAACGCTGAATAATAACTAAAACCAGAATAAACAGTAGCATTAGAATGCTTCTAGTTATAGGTCTAGTGTTAGTTCTAGTTGTCTAACACTAGCACCATCGCTAGAATGAACACTAGACCTAGAACTAGAAACATTTGGGTTTAGCCGCACGTCTCTTAAGACGGTTAAACCCGAATGATTTTAGTTCTAGGTCTAGTGTTAGTTCTGCTTTTACTTCAATAAAAATATACAACAATCTGGCGCTGAATAACAATTAAAACTAGAACTAATACTAGCACTGTCATTAGAACTAACACAAAACCTACAACTAAAGTCATGCGGGTTTAGCCGTCTTGAGAGCCGTGCGGCTAAATCCGAATATTTCTAGGTCTAGTGTTAGTTCTAGTTTTACACAAGCACTGTCATTAGAACTAACACAAGACCTAGAACTAGAATCATTTAAGTTTAGCCGTCTTGAGAGACGTGAGGCTAAATCCGAATGTTTCTAGTGTTCGGTCTAATGTTAGTTCTAGTTTTGCACTAGAACTAACACAAGACCTAGAACTAGAATCATTCGGGTTTAGACGTCTTGAGAGACATGCGGCTAAATCCGAATGTTTCTAGTTTTCGGTCTAGTGTTAGTTCTAATTTTAGTTCAATATAAACTGGACAACAATCTAATGCTGAATAACAACTAAAATTAGAACTAATACTGGCATTAGGATAAACGCTAGACCTAGAATTAGAAACATTCGGGTTGAGGCGCNAAATCCGAATGTTTCTAGTTTTCGGTCTAGTGTTAGTTCTAATTTTAGTTCAATATAAACTGGACAACAATCTAATGCTGAATAACAACTAAAATTAGAACTAATACTGGCATTAGGATAAACGCTAGACCTAGAATTAGAAACATTCGGGTTGAGGCGCACGTCTCTTAAGACGGCTAAACCTGAACGTTTCCAGTTCTAGATCCACTGTTGGTTCTAGTAATCTAACACTAACACTCTCACTAGAACCAACACTAGACCTAAAACTAGAAACATTCGGGTTTAGCCGTCTTAAGAGACGTGCGGCTAAATCCGAATGCTACTTGTTCTAGATCTAGTGCTGATTCTAATCACTAGCACTATCACTAGAACTAACACTAGACCTAGAACTAAAAACATTAGGGTTTAGCCGTCTTAAGAGACGTGCGGTTCCATTTTTAGTTCAATAAAAAATATACAACAATCTAACATTAAAGAACAATTAAAACAAGAGTTAACATAACATCTAAAACTCGAAAGTTTCAGATTTACGTGCGTCTTCAGGCTTCAGAATTTTTTTTTTAATATTATTAAAACGACAGATGTTTTAAAAATAGGGTTGTTGCAAAATGGGGTTCCTACCTGCACCTTACTCAATGGGGGATCTATTGTACCATCAAATTCGTTACTTTTCCCGTAGTTTTATCGAGTGCCCTCATCTAGATTTAATTAACCCAACTCCGCGGGATGCCTTTGAATGTTCCCCCTACATTATCTATTTAATTTTTAATGTTAGTTTAACCTTTTCGACCTTCGTAAGTTTCGTCTCGGTAAATGATTCCGTGGCGGTGATTTCTTTGAGCTGAGAAGAGTAGACGTCAATTACCGATTTTAGAGTAAAAACAAGGTTGAAATTCGGTTTCAGGTAGCGACAGACGGCGAACGAACGCGTCCAATTAAGAGAAGGGCCACATTTTAAATTACAGAAAATGGACCTTCTATCGTTGCCGGGGATCTCCTCTTAGAACAATGGATACGACAGCTGGTTATAAGGACGCAAAGGTTTGTTTTGCAGCACGATTCTCGAGTGGTGGCACCTCTTTTGTGAGAAACACAAAAGAATCAAGTGGCTTAACGGTCGAAATTTAAGCAGTAACGTTTCTATTTTCGAATCATCTACTGCACGATCTTTATTTCATCTCCTTTTAGTTTTTGGTTTTCTTTCTCATTATTGGCGCACTTGCAGGACGAAAGGACGAGTGAATGAGAGGACCAAATTACGAAATGGAAACGAGGAAGAGAGTGGAGTGAGAGCATCAGAGCATCAGCCAGGAGGTGGGTTGTTTTAATAGTTAGAATACCTGCAGTCGGTCGTTTTCCTAGCAATTAAGGCCGCTGTACCCTGACTTTGTAGCTCGTAAAAATTTACAATTTCCCCTGGACGCATCCTGCACCGTTAGCCGGGGATTTGCATAGATTTTCCAACGTACTTTATAGTTATAGCTATGGTCTATGTGATAACCTGTGTGATAACCTATGAAAAAGCATTGTTTCGAAAAGTGAAAATATACATAAAACCATATTTTTGTTTAGCTATAAAAATAAATAAATAAAAGTTTAAATCGCCTTTTTTTACAACCCCCTGATATGGGGGTATCAGTGACTGTAATCCTCTTCGGACAAAATAAACGCAAACACATAAAAAAACTACGTAATCCTTTTAATGTGACAGTCGCTCGACCAAACAAATCCTAACATTCCCACCAGACCAAACGATATCAACCCTCAATGTTGGATTTTCGGCTCTCCCTTCACGTGTATTAATTCGACACACCCCGTACAACCGGGGTTCGTTAGTCGACGATTGTCCCGTACCGTAAGCTTACTGTACAACCACCAGGAAAGTTTTGGATCATGGTATAGTTCTCGAGTCTCTCTCGCACGATTCTCTCTACTAGGTCTAATTGCATCACGGAACCAACCCCCTCGAAGTGTCCGGTCTGAATAATTTAATCAGATGCCCCCGAGTTTAAACCGATGTTGTACAGGATAAGCCGTGCGTTGGTTGGATAAACTTAGATACAAAATAACTCGAAATACTACTTTTTCTCCAAAATAATAATAATCTTTTTATCCCATACGGAAATACATTGTTCCCAAAGTGGGATAATATTAGTTAAACCTAATGGTTTGAAAGTTAAGTGCATGCAGAAAAATTAAAGTAATAGACACATATAAGCTATTAGAAAGAGCAGTACAAAAACCTTAGTGTAGAATTCAATTTTGGATGATATAATTTGTTTCAATAGCTTTGCAAAGTTATTCCCTTCTTGTAAACCGGGCAAATCTTGCTTAATTTCCATATCTATGGAGGTGGAGGAGTTCTGCTTGCTGTAGCTAGTCTTTAGTACCACTTGTCAATGTGTTGATTTGCAAGTGCTCTTTATGGTCAGTGACCTGATTCAGCAACCTAATTTGCTATGTTTCTCGGACGTCTTAGAACATAAAGTTTTGAATTATCCTGTCCTTATCCTTGATGATTTTAATTTGCCTGAATATATTAAGGCACCTGGCATATCAATCAAATGTGGAAAAACGGAGTTATTTCGTAATTTTTGTGACTTTCTGGACGTGTTTGCTTTTTGTGATAAACGTCTATTGGATTTAATAATAAAGACTAAAAAGGCCTCTTCTTCTCTAAATAATATATTTATTATATTTTATTAACTTGGTACCGGTGTCGACATGTTCACATGTCATCATCAGCCAAATAGTCGTAGAAAAGGTCAACTGTTGGATACTACAGTTGTATCGAGTATGCTTTCATGAATGTTCTTCTTAATTTATAAAAAGTTTTAATTTGTTTATTTTATTGTAAAGTTTTACAGTTTTACTTTCATTTTACATGTGATTGTGTATGTCCCTTCGCTGTGACCTTTTTTTTTGTAAATTTAGTTCTTGGAATATGAATATGAAAATTTCCCAAAGTGTTAATAAAAGTGTCTTCTTTCCAATGAACCAACCCGTCTTGAAAAATAACTTTTAGTTATTGAGAAAACAATATTTGAAGTTTTGATCAAATTTTCGATGCTGCAATTTTCATCGATAATATTCAAAATTCGCTATAAAATTCATTTCTTGAAGGATCCTTGTGGAAATATCATCAATTAATAATTAAAGTATCCTCTTTTTAATGCAACAAACCGTTTTGAAAAATCACTTTCAGTTCTTGAGAAATAATTTTTTGAAATGATCGACGATTTTTCGAATTTTGCAATTTTCGCCGATTAAGTTTTAAAATTCGTATAAAATCCATTTCTTGGAATATGAGTATGAAAATTTCCCAAAGTGTTAATAAAAGTGTCCTCTTTCCAATGAACCAACCCGGATTGCAAAATAACTTTTAGTTTTTGAGAAAACAATATTTGAAGTTTTGATCAAATTTTCGATGTTGCAATTTTCATCGATAACATTCAA